TGAAATTACCGTATTGTACAAGGTTCCTATCGCATTATAATCATTGATAATAAAAATGGATTTTTAGCACCTTAACGTCGTAAAAAAACGCGTAGTTTTACAATGTTTCGCTAAATAATTGGATCTACATGATAAACGGGATCACATACATGTAAAACGACCTCGGATTCGGTATTGGCAACCCAAAATACGTGGAATAAAGGTCATTTAAACCGCATTTAAAGCATTTTAACATATAAGTACCATGTAGAGGGTATTGTTACTAAAAAGGCACAAAATGGGTCAGTCCGGAACGTGAACGCAACATATCTTATAATACGCTTTTTGGGTCGCTGAAACCGAATCCATGGCCCACTCCGTCCGAAAATGCCTCGTTTTCAAGATACTGGCAAGAATTCAACTTTGTCAAAAAACGACTAATAAAAAATTTCTAAAAACTCTTGCGCGTCTATGATCGAGATGGAAGTTTGTTTTCTGGGTAAATCGAGTGCGCAGATTCCAAATTCGATGTCGATACATTGCTAGAATTTACGGCTAGCCCGGAAAAATAGTTTCTTGTCAACTATTCATCCTAAATCCAGTCTGACACTTTAGAATTTTTTCACTGTGATATTCATATTCAGCGCGCCAAATTACCTTCGTATCACATATAGCTATTGATAATGAAAATGAATTTTTAGCACCTTAAAGTCGCAAAAAATTCTTAGTTTTGCAGTTTTTCGCTAAGCGAAATTATATTATCGTCAAATTCTCAATTAGACGTTCTTGCTTCATCTTCATCCTCAACTTTTTTTTATTATGGACTCGCTATTGGAACATTGCGCAATCGAACACAATTTTTGATTCAGCATTTAGTAATGAATATAATTTGTATCAAGTGCATATGAATAAAGATTTAGATACATATACGATAAACTTGCCCTCATTTAAGCGACTTCGTATCTCCTTTTTCCGTGATCACAATGATGATGATCGAATTTGATTTGAATATGACTAGCAAGCATTTTCTAAAGAGATACCTGTTTGTTCCAAATATTGCATTCATGATCTGATTATCCAAACGCCTCACATTTTTTTTTTCACGTTTGTTTCAGGAGCTGTCGTTTCCGTCTCACCTGGGCGGCAATCGAGGCGATGTCCACGATGCCAACTCCAACGCCTCTACGTCGTTCAGCTTCTCGATGTCCTCCACGGCCGACATGGAGGGCCAAGGGGGCAGCTTCGAGTGCATCAAGCAGGCTGGGCCCGCAAGGAGCGCCCTCGAAGGGTTGGGAAGCATCCCGCACAAGATCAGGGTGCACGCCAACGACGACATCTACGAGGCGACGAGGAATCGCATGACCGAGGCTGAGGATAAATATAAAAACAAATGGTGAGTGTACAAGGGAATAAGGGATTAAGGGAAATCAGGATCAGCCCGCTGAGGGCATGTGAACGGTGATAGCTACGAGGAATCGCATGACGGCAGCCGAGGATGAATATAAGAAAAAATTATGAGTGGGCGTGGAGAATAAAGGATTAGGGGAAATCAGGATTAGCCCTTGAAGGGGGGGGTCTAACCGCACAAGATTAGGGTGCATGCAAACGACGACATCTACGAGGCGACGAGGAATCGCATGACCGAGGCTGAGGATAAATATAGGAACAAATGGTGAGTGCACAAGGGGAATAAGGGATTAGGGGAAATAAGGATTAGCCCGCGAAGGGCTGCGGGCATGCGAACGGTGACAGCTACGAGGAATCACATGACGGACGCTGAAGATGAATATAAAAGGAAATGATAAGTGTGCGTGGGGAATAAGGGATTAGGGGACATCAGGATTAGCCCGCGAAGGGCTGACGGCATGCGAACGGTGATAGCTACGAGGAATCGCATGACGGCAGCCGAGGATGAATAAAAGAAAAAATGATGAGTGGGTGTGGGGAATAAAGGATTAGGGGAAAGCAGAATTAGCCCTTGAAGGGGGGGAGGGGGGGACTATCTGCACAAGATTAGGGTGCATGCAAACGACGACATCTACGAGGCGACGATGATTCGCATGACCGAGGGCGAGTATAAATATAAGAAGAAATGGTGAGTGTACAAGGGGATTAGGGGGAAATAAGGATTAGCCCGCGGAGGGCTGCGGGCATGCGAACGGTGACAGCTACGAGGAATCACATGACGGACGCTGAGGATAAGTATAAGAACAAATGGTGGGTCCATAAGGGGAATGCGGGATTAGGGGAAAGAAGAATTAGCCGTCTAAGGGTTGGGGGGCATCCCGCACAAGATCAGGGCAACGACATACGAGGAATCGCATGACGGAAGCTAAGGATAAATAAAAAAATGCTGAGTAGGGGAACGAGGGATTAGGGGAAATAAGGATTAGCTTTCGAAGCGTAGATGCGAATGGCGATATCTACAATCTACGACGCTACGAGGAATCCCATGACGGAATGTGAGAGTAAATATAAGAACAAATTGTGAGTGGACGAGGGGAATAAGGGATTTGGGGAAGTAAGGATTAGCCCTCAAAGGACTGGGGGCATGTGAACGGTGATGTCTGCGAGGCTACGAGGAATCGCTTGAAGAAAGCTGGGTATAAATATAAGATTAAATGGTGTGTTATATTTTATATACACGGTGATTCTGAAATCAGTGGCAGTATTTCTAGCTCAGAAAGTAGTCCAGAAAATAACACAAAAAATGCTTAAGATGTCGTAGAATGCACCCTTTCCAAGTTGCCTCCAATGACCTCCATATTTGTATCATTTCCTAATCGATTTTTCTTATCAAAAATCATAATTTTATAATGGTACTTATACAGGTTGTCTCAATTATGTATGGAAAATAATATTTGTAAATCTTCAAATAATGACTGCCGTGTCATTGTTCCTTTTAGAAACAGCAACCCTTATTTTTAAAAATAAAGCTAAATTTGCAATATATAAGTATAAACAAGATCTTAAATTAAACACAAAAGATTGAATAATTTAGAATGGGTGAAAAATTTACGTGTCTCGTTGGTGCTATCAAAGAAATTAACAATTTTTATATATCTCGCCGTGAACTTGAAAACTTTCATATTATACCATATGTGAGTTCTTCAGTTCACCTACTTAAAATCGAAATACCTAATTTTGTTATAGTTTAGTTTTAAGTTAAATTCTTAAGACAATAAAGCATATTTATCTATCTATCGACACTGTGAAGTTCTAATCTTCTATTTTCGTTCCAGCACGCGCGAGATAAAACCCACGCAAACAGACATCGGCCGCAAGGTGAAACTGAAACACCACCAATCCTCCTCTTCTCAATCATCTCAGCTGCGCCCGTCATTGCTGCCAGTGCCGTCCGCACCGGGGGGCAACCAAGGGGCGGCCGGCGGCGGCAACGGGCGGCCCCCGGTGCCTCCCTATTGGGCTGCCAAGGCGGCCGCAGCTGCCGGTAATGGGGCGGTCACGGCGCCCCCCGTCCATTCCACGTCCAACGGCATGGGCAGCAACCACGTAAGCAGCTCCAGGCCGACGCACCATGCCAAGAAACCGTCCGTGCCGGATATCGCCAAGAGGCCGCTCAAGTAAGTGTATTCCTCAGTCCTCGCAGCAAGCAACCCTCCTTGCTTTCTGTTCTGGAGCAGTGTTGCTAGTAGTAGCGGAATTGGATTTTTTGTTAAAAGTATCTCCGGGGTAGCGGAAAGTAGCGAGAGTTTTTCGATACCAGTAGCGTAATTTTCAATTTTGACTCTGGCAACACTGTTCTGGAGTCGAGAGTTTCGGAGCGATTTTCGCGCACAATTTTTTTTTTTCATCACAAGTTTTTTTGTCAGAATTTCATGGACGATTGTTTTGGGGTTGACAGTTCCTCAGCTATCTTTCTAACGGTCAATCGACGGTCTTTAAGAACACATCATCGAATTCGTTCAACATTTCCTTCAGAGCTCGATGTCGAGGGGCTTCCTGAGCATTGGTCATCTTTCACATCTTCTCGGCCTTCCCGAAACCTTTTCAACCACTCCCTGACGGTTGGTTCCTTCAGAGAATTGTGTCCGTAAACTTGTTCCAAATACTCCAAAATCTCACGACCATTCTTGCCTAGCTTTACAAGAAACTTGATGCTCTGTTCTTCGATCAGAGAGAGCAGAAAAAAATACTTTCAACAGGCACACGTAAATCCAAACTTGCACAAATATACAGGGTGATGCATTTGAAATTTTTGATAAAAACTACAATTTGCGTTTTTGACCACCCTGTATGAGCAAAAGTGAAAATTCGAACAAGTAACAAATAAGATAAAAGCTGAGGTGTGTAAGTTTTTTTATACAAAATTCAGCACTCCAAATTTCAAAATGGCGGATTGAGGGGTTGCCGAAGTGGACGGTTTTTCTGGACAAAACACCTTATATCTCAGTAGCTAATTATCAAAACCACATAGTATGTTATATCAATCTTCTTCGTTTGAATTGGTTTATCCAAATATGCAATAAAATATGAGTCATTCCATTTAAAAAATCACAACTTTGATATGTAGGTCAAAATTGGGACACCGTGTATAGTTGCCAATATTTTAGAAATGTGCCCTCAAATGTCATGTATAACATGCCATAAATGGATTTTCTCAAAATGTATTTGCTTATGAGTAATATTCCGCCCATTTATGGATGGGCCACCCTGTATACAGTTTTATCTAAAGCTTTTGACAAGATGGATCATGGTATTCTATTGAGCAAATAATCCAATTTTGGAGAAGAGTGTAAGGTCTCCTCTATCAGACGTGCTGCCTGCGGCTACTATGCACTCATGGACATGTCTCAACATGCAATAACATGCAGCCTCCTCAGTTTGTTGAGTTATGTTGCAGACATTTTTTTAGTACCCTTTGTATTCACCTTTTGCGATGTCTCCTTTGTCGTTATCAGTATTTAATGCCCTTTTTTTGTTTTCAGGGAACGGTTAATCCAACTGCTGGCATTGAAACCGTTCAAAAAAATCGAATTGCATGATCGTCTTTTGAAAGGTTTGTATTTTTTTAATCATTTTTAGATATTGTACATATACCTAAATTTTGTTTTGTTTTCCAGAGGGTCTGAGGGAAAGGAATGGTGTAACGCCTGTACTGAAACAAATTGCCCATTTGAAGGACAACTGCTTCCACTTGAACAGGTCGCTTTGGAGCGAAGTTCATGAAGACTGGCCTTTTTATAGTGAATCTGAACGACAGATACTCAAACGGTAAGTTTGTTAAATTCAAAAAAAAAGTAGCACAAATATTCGGAGGTTAAAAAAAACTATTTGATAAGTTTTGTAAATTTGATGGCCATAACTAGAAAGATCAGTGTCGCTGATTACGGTCTGTAAATTAAGTTATATGATTTCCAAAATGAGTTTCGTTGAGGTATCTTTTCAACTTCGGGAAGAGAAGAAAGTCACAAGGACTCAAATGAGGTGAATAACGAGGCTGAGGAGTCTCGGGGATTTACTGGCCAAAAACTCGTTTACCGACTTTGCTGTGTAACAAGGTGACTTTTTTCTCAATAATTCCGCCTACAGAGCCATTTAAATGAATGTAATGTTATCGAAAACGAATATTTTAAGAGTTTTGGCCAGGTGTTTGCCACTAAAACCGCTGCTCAAACGATTGGACTAATTTACAAGAACTGTTTGTTTTTTGTCGATGCCTACTTTTCTCTTGTTTCTTCTGTTAATCTGGCCTTCCTTTTCAGGCGGAAGCCGGCCAACCTGACGCCCCCCGGAGGCAACTCAGATGGGGGCAGCAGTTCGGGGAGCGGGCAGTCGCCCACCAGCACGCATCCGGGCAGCCCGCCGCCTCCGGTCTCGATGAAGAGGCCGCCGTCAATTGGTAGCGGGTATAGGGACTCAGATTATCCTTCCATCGGTCTGGGGCTGCCGTTCAAGAGGCAGAGGATCGCACATGAAAGGTAAACAGGGGGGCCACGGATTCATTTTAACTCGTCGTTTTTTCGGCTGTTCATCTTTCCACCTCCTCTTCCAAAATATTCATTTTTTTTTTCAAAAGTCTCTTTTTAATTCTTACGCGGACGAGGGAGTATTTTGTAATCGTAAAAATTTAGAAATTGATATGTTTTTTGGATGTTCTATAATAATAATGTTTTTTCTGTGACATTTTATCTCGGTTGACAGGTAACAAAATGTCACTTTTTATGAAAACAATATTGTAAATTTTTCGCGATTTAGCTGGCAATAATTTTTGTGACGCTACTTTGGCTACTTCTAGTAATTCCGGTGTAGTCAAAAGAAAACTTCGAATCAAACATTTTTTACTTTATAGTATTAAAAATAACTTCTAAACAAACACCAAAGTCACAATTTTTAAATCAAATCACAAAATTATATTGACAGCTATTTGATTACTATAAAAGTTTCCTTAGAAACGCGGATCTAATAGTCGTTATAAGTACAACATAGCCTACAAATTTTAAAATTAATATAATAATAATTTTCTGACTTGAATACTGTAATAATATAATTTTTCAATATTAAATCGTAGTTCCGCTTCGGTTTACAACCTCAACCTAAAATCTAGTACGTTTTTCCTTTGTATAATAAATAACTATTATTTGCAACATTCAGTTTAGGTGAAAAGAACGGCAAAATACTTGAACGAAATATATTACAAAAGGACTGAAAGCATTTAAAAATGAAGTTCAGCCCTGTAGCTATTATAACACATTTATAAAAAAAAGATCTTGCCTCGGAAGAAAAATAAATCTGAGTAATAGTACAAAAAAAGTTCATTAGTTTGATCGGTTGAAGTGTTTTTCAAAAAAAATTATATTTGATTTTAAACTGGTTGTTGTTGTTGAAGATTTATATAGCATTAATGCTACAATGTCAATTTTGTATACCTAATGATTCGGTTACATATTTTTCTTCAATCCATTTTCTGTAATTTTACATTCTTGTATATTAAAACTAAAATTACGTCACTATGTATTTTGATTATTCATAGAGTTTTTAATTTCACCTTAAAAATTTTTAAATTCGATCTCTGGTTAATATCATTATTCAATTTATTAAATTCAAATACTCCCTTTTGAAATATATATTTACTAGTTATGCTACTATTACAATTTTGCAGATGAAAATCTATACTGCCTCTAATTTCGTAGTTATGAAAATGACTATTTAATTTTATGAAGTTCTCTAAATGTGGTGGTAATAAATGGTTGAACAATATAAAAAATGGGGAAGAATTATAGTGTTATACACAAATTTTTTGGAATACATACTAAGATTATGGGAAACTCTATAGAAGTAATTTATCTTTTTCGATATTTTTGAAATAATGTATTCATAATGTTCGTGAAACAGTAGCTTACTATCCACATAGCCTAATTGTATCGTCACCTAAATGTTTCCCTATTGACATACATTTTATTTTATTAGTGTTTAATTTAAGTTTATTCGCATTCTAAAGCAGTGTCCAAATGCTTATGTGCTATATATATAAGTATATCGTCCGCAAATATTTGAATTTTGCAGTGTTATAAAATGTCAAAGATATCATTTATATGAATAATAAACAGTAACGGCCCTAATTTACTCCGCTGTGGCACCCCTACTGATATATTTTGAACACTTGACATAATATCTCCAACTTTAGTTTTTTGACTTCTATTTACTAAATAAGTTTGTAATGTGTAATACTGATCCTTTAAAGCCATAGTGACGCAATTTCATTAACAATTTTTCCATATCTATAGTCTCAAATGCCCTTTTGAAGTCTAAAAATATTGTTACAATATATTCTTTCTCATCTATTCTTCTTCTCCAGTCTTCCACTACCATTTGGATTGCCGTTTCTGTGGAACATTTTTTCTAAATCCAGCTTGATTTTTTATCAAAATTTTGGTTTCTTCAATGAATTCTATGATTTGTTCGTATATTATCCCTTCGAACAGCTTCTCGACATCGGGCAAGACATTAATCGGTCGCATATTTGTATACAGCTGAGAATTTTGAACTTTTGGCACAGGAGTAATGGTGGAACACTTTAATTTTGATGGGAATTTACCATGTACTAAACAATGATTCACCAATAATAATAATTTCTCTCCGATTATATTGAAACAATCATTTAGAATATTTTTTGAGAGATTCTCACTTGGATTTTTATTAGATTTCAATTTTGATATAGCTTTTCTTAGATTGTTGTTTGGATGCATACTTTTCAGTCATTAGGAATTTGATTATAAAGCCGATAAATGTTGTATGAAAAAGATCTACAAAAATGAGAGGTTTGTCGAGGTGGAGGTGATATGTAGCCCTGAAACCGCAAATTTAAATTATGAACATGGTACGAAAATTTAAATAAATATGGTGGTGGCTTAAAAAACAAAATTTTGAGACAAAGCACACGCTGGCAACTCTCAAATTCAACCAGTTTCCATCAAGCAACTTATGCGATGAGAAATGCAATAGCGATACCCTCAGCAGAAAAAAATAAGACAAGGCGTTTCTTTTTATTTTGTTTTTTGTCCGGTTAGGAGAACATTTTTTCGCGTCCGCGTCTGCTCAAGAGAATGTCCGTCCAAGAAAGAGTTAGTGGGTTTTCCATTAGGGACTTGACAACTTTCTTTTTAAATAAAACGAAAATCATTTAAGATATCTCGAAAATTTTATTATTCGATTGAAGTATACTCAAAATATTCATGTACGTTTTGACATTGACAGTTCGGTAATTTATTTAAAGGTGCGTTCACAATGAAAGTTCAAAGTTGTCAAGTCCCTATTGTAAAACCCGATACAATGCAAATTATATGTACCATTAGAAACTATTCGTTTACCTGAGGTGTCCGTGAAGGGGAATTTCACTGTGTTCGAAGTTCATTAATCAATAATTGCGTGAGAAGAATAGAATCTATCTACTTGACGCCATTTGTTTTTAAATATCGTATGCATTTCTTATAATAGCCGGCCACCGTCCGCCCAACAACACCATCAGCAACACCAGCCGCCCATCACTAGCAGCGCAACACTCGACCGAGGCAGCGGCAACAGCCATTACAGCAGCAGCGGTGGCAACTACCATCATCAGCCACAACCGCCGCCATCAGCTTCAACTCTGTCCACCAAGCAACAGATGGAGGTCGATGCCAGGAGAAGGCCCATCACCGATTCCAGAGATGCCAGTAACATGAATCCCAGGTACCTTGATAACCATGCTTTACAGGTTCCATTATCACATTACATACGGCACAGTGCACCGAGCAAACTTAGTAGCATCTAACGAAATTTTCATTTTACAAAAAACGTGTAGAAATCACTTCAAAACTCTACAAATATTACCACTTCCATCAATTTATATTTTTGTTATATGCACAATAATCTCTGCAGAAACACATACTCATGCACTACGTAATGTTTCTTTTAGGGCTCGTATATCCATCCAAAGTTATTAAGTTGCTATTTCTGCATGGTGAATTTCGTGTATGATTATGATGTTGACTGTTTGTCATTTCAGGAGCAGGGAGTCCCCGAACCGGCTGTGGTCGTCATCATCGGCCACGCCTCCTCCACCGCCCACCACAACGACTACAGCGAACAGCTTGACAGTGCCGCCAATCATGAACGGCTACCACCATCCGCACCACTTTTCCTCCTCTCATTCGGCGCCCCTGTTCGAGGCGAAACGGCCAATCAGCGACGACGAAGAGTACGGAGGCGGAGCCAATGGGAGGAAGAGAACGTGCGATAGCCGCGACGCTAACGGGGCGCAACAAGGGCAGAAACCGTTTGGAGGCGGGACGACGATGCAATGGTAAGCAGAAAAAGAAGGAAATATGTTATGTTAAAGCAGTTCATTTTTTCTGCTTCCTTCAGTAAGCAAAAAAGGGGAAGTGTGGCACATTAACATCGATATGTTTTGGAATCGGAATTAAAAAGAAGCGATTCTGAGACCGTCGTCGAAATTACAGGATCGAATCACTTAGGACCGATTTTGATAACAGGAGATCAAAATTCTTGTTCCTGATCATAATAGACGAATGTTAAACTAGCGAAAAAATCCTCATGTCAATAAATTCTATAAATAAATCATAAAATATATTTTTCCAGTTCATCCTGATATCAACGGTTACGACCATTCTTTCTAAAATTTTATGAAGCAAAGGCGCTATATATTCATATATACCAGATAAAGGGTAACACAACTAGTATATTTTTTCGCTGGTTTGAAACATATTTAATAAGAACTATTCATTTGATCCATAACTAGAATGACACGTACTCATTGGTCTATTATGATCCAAGATTTCAGATCCAGCGGATCAGTACTTACATTTTACCAGGCTTGTTAAATAAGTACCCGTGTTTGATGACAGAGGGAGTTCCTGAAGGAAGTAGGTGTTATCATCGTGTGCTGCCATCTATCAAACGACGGCACAACAAATTTCAGACTGATTGATAGGTTAGTTTGGATTTGGCAGCCATTCGAGTAACACGTGTTTCGTGATTTTCGCTAAGATGGAAAAAGAGCGGTATCGTTAGGTGTTTCGCTTTTTATTTTTGGATTGGAAAACATGCGAGGAAATAAAATCAAAGTTGGATGCTGTTTATGAGGACACTCCGCCATCCATGACCACAGTTAGATATTGTTTTAACGTGGGCGAATATCCGTTTTTGATAAGGAGCGACCAGGAGGCCCGGCAGCCGTGGTTACCGAGGGAATCATTCAAAATGTCCACGACATGATTCTCGCTGATCGACGAACGAAATTGCGCGAAGTAGCAGATGCCGTAGGTGTGTCGACCGGAACGGAAATGCATATTTTAGATTATAAGTTGGAAATGAAAAAAATGTCGACCCGATGGGTGCCGGGAGTGCTCACGGTGGACAACAAGCGGATGCGGCTGTTAACTTCGAAGCAGTGTTTGGGGCAATTTAAACGAAATCCGAAGGAGTTTTTGAGTCGAGTTGTCACCGTTGATGGAACCTGGATTCATCATTACACGTCAGAGACTAAGCGACACTCAAAACAATAGATTTCTCCTGGTGAATCTGCTCCAAAGAAGGCGAAGACGGTCCCATCGGCTTCATTGGTTTTTTTTTAGAAAAAGGAAGAACGATCACTGGACAATACTACAGTGAGTTATTGGACCGCTTCGACAAAAAATTGAAGGAGACACGGTCACATTTGGCGGAAAAGAAGGTAATATTTCACCACAATAACGCACCAGCACATTCATCCGGAGTTGTCGCCGCCAAACTGCACGAATTGCGTTATGAAGTGCTGCCGCACCCCCCGTATCCACCCGATCTGACCCCTGCGACTTTTTCTTGTTCCCTAACATGAAGAAATGGCTCGCGGAAAAAAATTAGTTCGAACGAGGAAGTCATCGCCGAGACAGAGGCGTATTTTGGAGAATTCGGCAAATCCTATTTTTTGGAGGGGTTAAAAAATGGCAGGAACGTTGGGAAAAGTGTAACTCTCTGAAAGGGGACTATGTTGAAAAACAAAAACATTTTTTTTAAAGTGTCTTCATTTCTAACACGGGTAGTCATTGAACCGCTCTCGTAGCAGCAGTTGATAATTTCCAATGTTTGTTTTTTCCATAGGTCTGGTTCACCTGGCAGTGGTGGTGTCCATCACGGATCCGCCCCCGTGGTGCCGGTTAAGGAAGAGATGACCGCTGGTCGGACGCTCAAACAGGAACCGCACGAAGTTGACAGCCACGTCATCGGAAACGTAGGAGCGGGAGGTGCCGAACAAACGACACAGCCCACATGGTGGGTAGATAATAATAATAATGTCTTCATTAATCCATGCACACTGCGAGGCGAAGTTTAGCCAGCTGGCTACTCTACCACTTAACCTCACAGCGCAGGAACACATACAAAAGGAAAGATATAACAATTAATAGCAATCGACTAAACAATATATACAATAATTAAGGCTTAAATAGATTAATCTTAATATGTTGTACATCTATTCTACATAGCCGGCTCTAACAAAAAAAAACAATAAAGACAAAAAAAAAATATATCAGCCAGCTTGGCTAGCAGACCCCAGAAGATGGTTCTTAATGGCTCTCTTGAATACAAGTATTCCCTTCGTTTTGTAATTGTCATCAAGACTATTATACACCTTGACAGCGTTGTAGGTGAAGCTACGATGGAAAATGTTGCTCCTATAACTAGGTATATTGAAGTCAGAGTTATGTCTGAGATTCCTGTAATTGAGATACCCACGTGGTACCAGCCTTTTTAGTAGATAAGTAGGTAGCCTATTGATTTTTATTCGTTGTACTAAAATTAGTAAATTATATGTGAAAAGTTGGTCAACCCTCAACCATCTAAGCTCATTGATCTTCTTAGACACATGGCTAAACTTTCGCAGACCACAAATCTATATAATATTTTTTTATTAATTGATCGCTAAAATACAGGATATGATGCCTTAGCTGTGTGTTAAAATTTTAAGAAAAAAATCGTTTTCTTATCGTAACTTTAATACTGTTCTAGGTATTTTGATTAAATTTGACATGCACCTACTAAGCACCATTAGGCATTTTTTTGATGTAGAACATTTCTTAATATTTCTACCAGTGGCGTCCGTAGGAGATTGTATACAGGAGACTTTTTATAAAAATATGGTACGCCATTGTTTATTCCGAAAATACAAATAATTTTTGAAATCCTGCTTTATTTTGCAACAAATTTGACCACTTGACTTTTTCCGTCTGCGTAAAAAATAAAAACCATTTTGGCTGTTTTAATCAATAATTGACGTTTCTGGAATAAAAATTAAACAAAAACACATCTTACCTACAAACTACCACATGAGATTTTAGCGATTTTGCAATACATGAAAATTAAAAATGTTTGTAAAAAGTTTTGACAATTTCTGAGGGTCAAATAAACTAATACTATTTAATTTAATTATCACAAACATTGCTGAAAATGTCCTCATTCTGCCAGAATAAAGGCTTCACTTCTCTTTCTCATGGATTGGCGAACCCTTTCAAAAATTCCAGAAGTATTTCTTATGGTTTGGCAGGAAAGTGAAATTTACTGCCTTAGTTCCTGTACAGTTTGAACCGGTGTAGTATAAACTAGTCTTGAGGTGCACCACAAAAAATAGTCTAAACTGTTTAAATAAGGGGACCTGGGAGGTCAAGATTCGAGTTCCTTCAGCGATTGGTAAACGCTTCATTTGAAATTCCCTAGCATGAATGCTAAAATGTGCAGGAGCATCATCATGCATGTACCACATTTCTTCTCTTACTAAAGAGGTACATCCTGGAGCAGAATTCGCAAATCGTTTTCAAGAAAGTGACTATAGGTTAGTCCACCCATTCGTCCTAGAAGGAAGAACGGTCCTACGAGGAAATCTCCAGCCCACACATTCACGGAAAACTGCTCGTGATGATGTGCCTGGTATGTGATGAAGTTAGGCGGGTCTGTCTGGTACAGGGTCCGTTAGAAAGAACGTATGTTTTTTAAATGAGTAGTATGGGAAAAAATATTTTATTATATCAAAATACATGCCATTTTTTTGTGTAAAACAAAATTTACGTTCTAAAAACTATATCGACCATATGGCCCCTTTAGCCGAAATGCAGGAATCATGCCTCTCCCGAAATGAGTCCATTGCGTCGGCCAGCATCCGTGCAGGAATTTGGGTTACTTCTCTTCTTATTTCCTTCTTCAAATCGACGAGGGTCCGAGGCTTGATTTGGTAAACTTTTGATTTCAGGTAGCCCCATAAAAAAAATCACACTGTTCGGAGACGGACACGTCGACGTCGAAGTTCCGGAAAAAAAAGTTGTTCAGCATGTGAATTCACAGTAGTTGTTTCTCCATCATCCTCAAAAAAATAAGGGCCAATAATCATCGTTGGATCTTTACTGTAACTTTCGGGGTATGCAGGGTTGCTCATGCATCTGTTGGGGGTTCACTATAGACCAATATCGACAGTTTTGTTTATTGACGTATCCATGTAAATGAAAATGTGCCTTATCAGTCAAAAACAACGTCATGTCATTGTTATCCAACTGTTCAATCATGAGCTGTGCAAAACTTAACACGTGCATAAACCCCTGGCAACAGTTGTTGACAAACTTGGATTTTGTAAGGATGGAACACTAAATCCTTCTTCAAGATGCGACGTACAGAGGACGCGTGGTCCCTAGGGAACTGGCGGAACGATTCGGGCTTTGCAGCGTGCCAAGTCTCACGCTGTCTACGTTTTCGGGGGTTCTAACAGTACGGTTTCGCCCTGGCGGTTTTTTCTTCATCACATTACCTGATGTTTTGAATGCTTCCACCCATCTCAAAACGGTGTTACGGTCTGGTACTGTCCCTCGACGTGGAACACGATAGTGAACGCGAAACTCACGTTGCGTTCGAACGACAGACTCGCCATCGTACAGTGAACACACGATGCTCAACGTTCCAAACCATCTTGCCAACCGAAACGGCACTTCTCCCACTATCCAACACGCCTTTCCCCACCGATACGGGACCAGCCCACTCAATGTAGTACCCATTCGAAAAACATGCGTTCTTTCTGACGGACCCTGTATATATCCTGAGGACAGATCATGGATAGCAAACAGGACACGCGGTTTATCCATAGTAGAGCTTTTGCAATAAGACGAGTCAAAAAAATGCATCGAACTGTTTGGCTTTAAAGGCATGTTTTGTTTCAGGTATAATAATGTAGCAATCGGTAGGGGGGAGACAAGGGAGAAGGAGAGGGAACGTGATAGGAACAAATATAATAAGGAGAGGATAGCGAGGGTAAGTCCGGACAGTCAGACGGACGGCATCGGCATTGCAGCACAAGAGTTAATCGACGGAAGTGGCATTACTAAAGTGGAGGAGAACGAATTTCCTGACTTTGAAAAGTAAGGCACTGTGTTATATATCATCGTTGTTTTGACGAAAACTCCTATTTTTTTCGAAGCAGAAGTTTTTACAGAATGACAAAAAAACTCTTTTAACTTTAAAAAATTGGTTTCGCTTCCAGTAACATCGATTTTTAGGAAAACAGAATTACTGGAGTTTCTTGCACAATGCAAAATGTGAGTTTTGGCAATCACAAATAACTGTCAAGTGTCAAGTACGGTTAATGTCTACATATGCTGTATTTGAAATTGCTAAAACTCTCTGGATTCAAAATAACCCACTTTAAAGCTCTCCAATCGCCTCAGCTATATAAGAGTCTATAATTGAAAATTGAAATTTTGCATTTTGCTTCAAAGTTTTCAAATTTTCAAAAACTGTTGGTTCAGCTTCCTGATATACTGCATGCCTCAGTCGATAATAAGATGGTTCTTAATAATTGTTTTTTTTTTCAGGCAATATGTTACCATTCAAGATCCTGATCAAAGGCGGAGGTATAAGACGGATTTTAACGCCGATTATGCTGAATATAGGGACTTGCATGGGGTTGTAGAAAAAGTTTCTAAAAGGTTTGCTCAGTTAGAGGAGAGGCTTCGGCAGACAGAGGAAAATAGTCCTAAATATAAAGTAAGTACACACATAACATTCTGCCTACCATCATTGATAAACCTAGTCTCTAAGATGTCCAACCATATGCTAAATTTATACATTCTCTCTTATAATTTCAAAAGCAATGTTGCCAAGGATCACGCTAATTTTTGAACCTTAATTTCCATGTTTTACAACAAACGTCCCAATAGGTGAAATTGTTAATTGTCTTAATCTTCGGATTTCGGGGATATAATAGATAATGGACTTTACGAGAGATGTCTTTTAAGTTTTGCATATAGAAACATAGTAGGCCGCGCGGATCGAACGTCAGTACTGAATCTTAACCTCACTCTTTAGTAAACTTAAATTCAAAGTTTCACAACAATACGTGCACTGTTCTCACTACAGTGAATTTTTAAGTGTTACCAAGTCATTAGAAAAAACTCAACCGAGAACATTTGCGCGCCATAATTTATTACAACTTTCAGAGACAATTATCGCAACAAGAAGGCCTTGCAGAGTTACTGTCTGTTTTCGGCAACGAAGCGCCACATCAGTCGACAATTTCCCGTCGGTATGAAGAATTCAAACGTGGACGGGTGAGTCTTTGCGACGATCCCAGGGTGGGTGCACCAAAAACGGCAGTCACCCAGGAAAACGTCGATGCTGTGCGCAAACTCATCATTGAAGATAGACATGTGACACATCGGGAGATTGAGGCGTCCTTGAAGATCTCAAAATTCAAAAAAATTTACATGAAGAATTAGGAGTAAGAAAATTACTTTCTCGTTGGATAACGCCACCTGTTGACTGAAGAGCAGAAAGCAGCCAGGGTTAATTGGTGTTGAAGAACGCTTGACCATTTCAATTCCGGAAACTCAAAAAAGGTGTACAGCATTGTTAGTGGTGATGAATCGTGGATTTACTGTTATGGACCAGAAAACAAACGACAGTCGGCTGTTTGGGTGTTCCAAGGTGAAGAAAAGCCAACAAAAGTCACCCGTTCTCGATGTGTTTCGAAAAAGGTGGTCGCGACATTTGTGTCAAAAGCGGGTCATATTTCAACAATTCCTCTTAATGAGCAAAGAACTGTTACTGCGGATTGGTATACCACCATTTGTTTAGCAAAAGTCATCACCGAGCTTCGAAAAATCAACACCGAAAGAAGAATCATCCTCCACCAAGACAATGCATGCTCGCACACAGCCCAAAAAACAAGGCAGTATTTAATGGAAGAAAACGTGGAATTATTGGACCATCCTCCATATAGTCCCGATCTAAGTCCTAACGATTTCTTTACTTTCCCGAAAATTAAAAACAGACTGTGTGGTCAAAGGTTCCAGTCACAAGAAGAAGCAGTTGACGCATTCAAAAATGCCGTTTTGGATCTGCCAGCAAACGAGTGGAATAAGTGCTTCGAAAATTGGTTCGAGCGCATGCAGATGTGTATTAATCTT